AATCCATTAATCTAACGAATGTATATCTTTTTAAAACAAACGTATGTACATTCTCAAATCAACATGCGAAAAACTCGACTCTCTAATCGATATACACACGCACAATTACGAATATACATTATCATCTGAAGCCGACATTGTCAAACTGGAATTTTTATACACCTACATACATATAGCAATATTTAATTTTTTTTTTCAGTTTGATTTAAATCTGTTCATTCTATTGGACGCATTGTCTCTCCTTGAATTTGAAACGCTACAAATGTGAGTAACATTGATTTAAAAAGTCGAATGGACGCGATACAAGATTGACCAATGAAAATCAAACAACACAAAAAGAGAAATACCAGATTTTTTTTTTGTTTTTCTGCATATCATTGTCCGATGAAGTTTTAGTAAAAGTGAAACATGTTCGACTAAAAAAAGTTTCCTTATTGATCTTTATCTTATCACACACACGCACATACACACAGACACACGCAAGCACACACACACGGGTATATATACATATGAATAAAATAGACAATAGGAAAAGAATTCAATTTGTCTTGTCTACAGATATATTCTGAGAAATATTACACACACACAGATGCACACACACATACATACAAACATATATTATATGTATAATATGCATATATATATATATAAATATATATATATATATATATATATATATATATATATATATGTCAGTGTGACTTATATATATATATATATATATATATATATATATATATATATATATATATATATATATTATTTTATATATGTGCGGTAATTATTGGAAAGCGCTCAATATCAATGATAGATCTAACATACTTAGTTGCATGGATGTGATTTTGAAATCCTATGTTTCAAAATATCTACCCGGTAAAGATCTTGACAGTAATATTTAATTTATTTACAGAAGTAAATATTTCTGAATCAATGAAAATCAAATCATAGGCAACACATATTCTTAAAAATGCCGCTATTGAAACTTAACTAGATGTAAATCTACGCCACGGATTTTTTACAAATATATTTCTTTTCCTAGAAGAAAGACCTCTTTACCAATGCAACATACAGGACTAAATGTTCATTTAGAAATAAAAAAAATGGTTATCTGAAAAATCTTCTATAAAAGTCTATATATCTGAAATGAGGTATTGTAAGTATTTACACTATTTACATTGTTTTATATACCATACCTATGAACACTAATTGATATGTCCCACTCCTCATAAATACGTTGAACACTATTGTAAGTGGAGGTAATATGGTGTCTATGTAGTCCACCACTAGCAGTGGTTTACCTACACACGGCGCTGGCGAGTATTGTATTTTGTTGATGTTATAAAGATTATCATTTCATTTCCAACCTTCATTTTGGTTATTCCTCATTCAGTAACCCTTCTTATGTTACAACACATTGTTCATACCGTTGTCCTGACCTTTATTGTCATATTCACGGCGTTTCGGCAGTTGTACGCTCCGGCCTTCTTTATGTGATATACGATGGAATTTGACCTTGAATTCTCTTATATCTTTCTATCTCGCTTCCGTTGTTTAAAGCAGTGCTTGGAAAGAAAGTCGCTAGAGTATGGTTGTCTCACAACACAATAGAAAACATGTTTGAAAATAGACATAAAAGCTTAAGAATTATGAGTCTATGAAAAGCAATCACCCAAACTGGCCGATAAAGAAGAGAGCAATGTAAAAAGACTGTTGACTGTTTTCTTCGAAAACAAGGGCATTGTGTATCCTGGCTATCCTCCACCACGTCAGAGTGTAAACAAGGATTGCTACCGTGACGTTTTACGGCGTTTGCAGGAAGTTGTTCGCAGGGAAATTAACGGAAAAGCGTGCGTATTCCCCAGGTTCGAAAAGCACCATATTCTCCCAGATCTCAAATCCCACTTGAAATGAAAAAGATTTCAAGACGTCGTCGTAATCAAAGAGAATGCGACGTGGCACTTGCTCGTTATCCTAAAAAGGGAGGTCCAGGAATGTTTCCATAACATCCAGCGTGTGGTTTTAGAAGGGGATACATTTTGATCATACATCGTACACACACATACGCACACGCACGCACACACACACACACATATATATATATATATATATATATATATAAAGGAAAGACAACGCATCATCGAAAACACGGTTTGTTTTTTGTTTTTAAGTTTTCAATTTTTTTTTTTCAAATTTTTTTTCTAATTTTTCCCTTGATGTATTGTTATAATATACATAAAGCTCTCTTTATTGGTCCATTTTAAAATATTTTATTTATGATCATCCTTTCTACTTACGGAATTGACATTATCTATGTATCTATCTATCTATCTATCTATCTATCTATCTATCTATATATATATATATATATATATATATATATATATATATCAGGAAAAATACTGTGTATATCATATTGCTCTGTATACTATACATTGAGCTCTCTTCATGGATCTATCATTTATCAATCTGTCTATTCATACATACCTACATGCAAACATACATACATACACGCGCGCGCACACACACACACACACACACACACACACACACACATATATATATATATATATATATATATATATATAGAGAGAGAGAGAGAGAGTGATGGATACATTGTATTTAATTTTTAATTTCGACTGCATAGACTCGTAAGGTCAGCTGTCTGTGAGGAAAAGAACAACATGATGCCATTTACTCCGACAGATATTTGGAAACGGCATGCTGTACTACTTGGCATTCGCACCGGGGGTTCCATTTCTGAATTTCTGGATGTCAATCTGTGGGCAGTGTAGAGGAGTCGGAAAGATTTGAATTACTCTAATGGTGAATATTAATGTGTTTGGAATGTTCACGAGCGATGGGGATATTATGCCTTCATTCATCACACCAAAGTACCTCTGACTCGACACGGAGGCCTACATCAAGTGTCTTTAGGAGGCAGTGCCGTCCTGGACGAAGTGATTGGCTGCTGAATAATCTTATGTCTGGCAAAGTGATTCTGCATCATGCCTCACAAGCAAGAGAATCCAGTCTTGGCTGTCAGACAATTTCTGTCACAACATCAGCCTTTACATCTTGCCAGCTAACTCCCTAAACTGCAACCCATTTGATTATTATGTGTGGGGTGCAGTTGAGCGAGAGACGAATAAAATCCCTTGTAACACCAAAGATGAACAGAATTCAAGGATTATGGCAGCATTCAAGCGTTTAAAAAAGAAGACCGTCCAGAATAGAGGCAGGAGATTCTGAACTCATCTGGATTCCGTGGTTGCAGTCAAAGGCGATTTTACCGAATAAATTTACTCTTTAGAATTTAAAGATATTTGTGTTAATTTTGGTAAACATATCTGTCAATATTAGATGTCAGTGTTATTTTCATTTTTGCGTCATTTAGAGAACAATTTATCCATCGCAGCCTATATATATATATATATATATATATATATATATATATATGTGTGTGTGTGTGTGTGTTTCCATAAAATCTGCAATTTTATGATAAAAAATTTTTCATTTTAAAATATCGTCTATCCAATTGTCAATTCACTGGTTAATATTAACTAAAAACTTCAAGCATAACAAATCAAAATTTCACTTAACCACGTATCAGAGTCCAAACATATTTATGTATACTTGTATATATATGTATATGTATATATATATATATATATATATATATATATATATATATATATATATATGTGTGTGTGTGTGTGTGTGTGTGTTAAAAGGTACATCGAAATTCATGATATGTACAAAAAAGAGAAAAAAATTACTCTTCCTTTTTACTTGTAAAAACAAAATGTCACCCAGTACCGCAATGGATTCTTCTCGAATCGAACTGAGCCCTGAAGATAAATATCGCTCATGTCCGGAGCGTCATTACATCTTAATAAAAAATAATCAAGCAAATTAATGGTTAAAGGTATAAAGCCGTACAAAGTGTTCGGTAATGGAATTCTTTGGTTTTTGAACCAAACACCTCAAAGAGGACAAAATACGAGAAAAAAATTGTCCGGATCCTCGTGTAAAAGGATTTGCGGAAAGAATATTTTCAGGCTTGAAAACAGAATGGTAACGAGACAAAAAAAGTTCAGAAATGACCAAAAACTGTATCACTAAGTCCAAAAGATATGAAAAGAAGGAAATGGTAGCAGAACAAAGAGAGAAACATTCATATCAAAGCAAATGATCTGAAAATACAGAATGTAATAGCAGTGGAAAAAATATGCTCGACCTCGTTCTTTGAGGGAATGCATTCACATCCTTGCAGAACACATTCTTTGATTTCGATATTGTTCTTTTTTAAAAACCAACTCTAAACTAGAATGGATAACATTCACGTCACGTGTCCTGAAATCCATTAGGTCGGTATGGCTATAATAAGTACTGCATCCATATTAGCAACTGGGTTTGTAATGCAAGGGAGCCTGGTGTAGAGAATGCATCCTCGAGCTGATTTTGAATACAGATATTTCCTTCTCCTAAGCTGGTTGCTATGTTGAGGTAAAACACAACAGTTAGACTCGATATTCTCTGTAAAAGCTAGATATAACTGCGCGTAAAAATCAAATTAGATCATCCGATTTGAAATACGTAGAAAACCCCCAAAATTCGGCCGCTTCGAATGCCATTTAATTGCCATCCTCTTCTTTATAAAAGCATGAAATGAAATTCAGCAGGCCCCCATGATTATATCCAATAATCTTCTGCCTCTTTGTAGTCGATGAGAAATGTGAGTAAAAGACCATCTGCGCATGTGTAATTAAGTGTCTAGTGTGTATACACACACACGCACGCATATATATATATATATATATATATAGAGAGAGAGAGAGAGAGAGAGAGGGACAGAGAGAGAGAGAATATGTGACAAAGTGAGAGAAATAATAAGGAATATATCCCTGTATATTCATATCTATCTATCTATCTATCTATCTATCTATCTATCTATCTATCTATCTATCTATCTAATACAGTTCTGCATAAACCTATCGCAGTCTGTTTTTTTTATCTATCTATCTATCTATCTATCTATCTATCTATCTATCTATCTATCTATCTATCTATCTATCTAATACAGTTCTGCATAAACCTATCGCAGTCTGTTTTTTTTATCTATCTATCTATCTATCTATCTATCTATCTATCTATCTAATACAGTTCTGCATAAACCTATCGCAGTCTGTTTTTTTTATCTATCTATCTATCTATCTATCTATCTATCTAGCTCAGTCTGTTCTTTATCTATATCAGCGATTTCTCTCTCTGTCTATCTCTCTCTCTCTATCTATATATCTGTTTATCTATATATACCAGTATGTTTCTTCACATCTATCTATCTACCTATCACATGTTGTACTTGATCTATCTATCGCAGTCTGTTTTATCTATCTATCTATCTATCTATCTATCTATCTATCTATCTCAGTTTGTTCTTTATCTCTCTATCTCAGTGATCTCTCTCTCTCTCTCTATCTATCTATATATCTGTCTATCTATGTATATCTGTTTGTTTCTTCATATCTATCTATCTATCTATCTATCTATCACATGCTGTACTTGATCTATCTATCGCAGTCTGTTTTATCTATCTGTCTATCTATCTATCGCAGTTTGTTCTTTATCTCTCTATCTCAGTGGTTTTTTCTCTCTCTCTATCTATATATCTGTCTACCTATGTATATCTGTTTGTTTCTTCATATCTATCTATCTATCTATCTATCTATCTATCTATCTATCTATCACATGCTGTATTTGAATTATCTATCGCAGTCTACTTTACCCAATTATCTATCTCATGTTACCCCGAGTTGACAACAGCCTAAATTCTAGTGTCCACCGAAAATCAAGCAATAAATGTGACCTAACAAACATTCTCATCACAGCAAGATAATATAATCCGGAATGATCACTGGAGTTTCTTTAAGAGCACTCGGAATTTGCAGCCCTGAATATTTACACGAAGAAATTAAATATATTGAAAACAATTTCAAGACTCTTCAATACCCTAAATATTTTTCTATTCAATAAGAAACAATAGTCTCATAAAATATTTCAAAACAGAAGAGCTGTCCTTCCCGATAAATGTAACGAATCCAAAAATATATTTTATGAATATGAACTCAAGATAAGATATGTCCCAACAACTTCTAAAACAATCAAAGACTTTTAAAAAGCCAAAATTTGAAGGAGGAATTTATTCTATTTCCTCTATCAAATGCAGGAATTGCCAGAATTAATAAATTGGAGAAAATTCAAGAGGTTTAAACAAGAGACTATATGAACACAAAAGAGACATTAAAAAAAACCCAAAAAACAACCAAAACGCATTGGTTATCGACCGTAATGAAACTGACCACCATTTTGTCATAAAGAATTCTACTCTGATTAATAATAATTCACTGAGACTAAAATGCCTGGAAAGTGCCTTGATCGCTAGTTCAGTCGTGCTAAATTTGCGTCCAGAACCTTACTATTCTTAGTAGATTTTCTGTTGTCTCAGGGCAAAAGTGATCGAGAGAAAAAGAATACTGATAAATCTGGCAAGATTGAAAAAATACTATTACCGAAAATATTCATTCCAAAATATATATATATATATATGTATATATATATATATATATATATATATATATATATATATATTTATATTTCTATCTATCATATATATATATATGTATATATAAATATATTTCTATTTCTATCTATCTTCATATATATATATATATATATATATATATATAATTATTATTATTTATAAAAATTTATAACATAAATATGTTATAAAATCACTGCAAAAATAGCCGTTTTATTTCAACACACTGTGTCTTATCAATAAATGATGTTGAAAATAAAATTTATTTTATTTTCAACATCATCACTTGATAAGACACAGAGTGTGTTGAAACAATATGGCTATTTTTGTAGTGATTTTATAACATACTTATGTTATAATTTTTTTATAAATAATAATTATATCTGCTCTACTTTGTATTGAGCACTCTTTTAAGAATAGTAATTGTTGGTTATTGGAATTCATTCCATATATACCAATTATACACATGGAATTCATTCCATATATACCAATTATACACACATATATATATATATATATATATATACGATTATCTATCTGCCATTTTCATATTTCTATCTCAATCTATTTCCGTATGTTCATATTTATATATATATATATATATATATATATATATATATATATATATATATACAGAGAGAGAAAGAGATAGACGGAGAGAGAGAGGATTTAATGTTAAAATTTATACGCGCGTTTTTATTTTAGTTTTTTTCGTGTGTTCAACAGAGTAGGGTCATTTGCGCACCGACTTTAAGAAAAAAAGAACCATATCCCAATTCCCTCGTCCAATACGAATATCTGTGAGTGTTTGTGTCGTCAATCTGATGAAAGTGCAGAGAATTTGCAAAATGCTGGTTGAGTCTAAACTCGATTGTGAAGGTTTTTGGTATGATAAATATTGATGGCAAGATTATGCCTTCAATCTTCTTCCTATACGCCCTCAGATTCAACATGAGGCCTTCATCAAGTGCCTCGAGGAAGTAATACTCTTCTACGTCAAGTGAGTGCCTGTTGAAAGGTCTTATGTCTAGCAAAGGTATTCTGCACACACGTAAGGGAAACCAGTCATGGATCTCAGACACCTTCTCCGACCACGTGACTCTCCATACTGCAACCCTGTTCATTATTTTGTGTGGGGCACATTTGAGCGAGAGACCAACAAACTCCTAATAACACCAAAGGCAAAGAGATTATCCAAAAGAGTTGCAGGAGATTACGAAGTCGTCTGGAGGCCGTGGTTGAAACCAATGGCGATTTTAATGTCTACATTTACTGTTTTTAGTATTTCAAGATATTTTTGTGTAATTTTAGTAAATATATCCGTTACAATGGTATGTCAATATTATTTCATTTGTCCGTCATTTAGACGACAATTTATCCATCGCAACCTGTATATGTACACAAACAGGCACACCTATGTTTGTGTGTGTATTTTTGTGTGTGTGTGAGTCTGCCTATGTGTGTGCGTGCGTGTGTATGTGTGTGTACATATTTTGTGAAATCTAGCCGAAATGTCTAGTCATCCAATCAACACTGTCCAAAATAAATAGTTTTGTTTGTGAAATTTCAAATTTTTTAGGCATTATTACGAGTTAAATCTTATCACTGTCATTGACAAGAGTTTTCCTAAGTAACATCCTGACATTATTTAGGGGAACGCTACCTTTCAAATTCAAATATATGCGCATTGTGCAAGTGATTTTATGTTTAGAATTGATTCACAGCGAAAGTATTCACCGAAAATGGAATATATCAAATATTTTATGATGTTAACGTCCTCAATAGAAATTCACTTGGTGTGGCATTATGTCAACAAGACGCCTTACAACTTAGGAACATTTAGAAGAATTCTCCAAGAGTAAACGATGGCAATTTTTGAAGGTTTACAATCTTCCTCTCTGTTCTAATTTTCGCTATGTACTTGTTTCAATCTATTAATTCCCCGCCTTCTAAACAGTATTTTGCTTTTCCTTATTGCATACCCCATATATTTGCTTTCTTTCTTTTCTATTTGTTTCCCCATCTCTTTTACTGCTTCTGAATTCCTTAAACTGAAATAGACAAAAAAGAAGGAGTCGAACTATTCTGATGCTTTGAAAGACAGACAATTAGACATAGAGAAGGAAACAAATACAGAAAGAAAGAGTGGAAAGACAAAAAAAGAAAGAAAGAAAGGATGAAATAATGATAGTGTGTAGGCATACAAAACAAAGAAAGAGATAAAAGAAACAAAGGAAGGAAGGAAGAATTAAAGAAAGACGAAAGGCATTGAAAAGAAGCGATAAGAATCAGAGACATAGCAAGAGATGAAGAAGAAAGAAAGAAAGAAAGAAAGAAAGAAAGAAAGAAAGAAAGAAAGAAAGAAGGAAAGAAAGAAGAATCAAAGATAAAAAAGAAAGAGTGACAGAAAAAACGATGAATTCATAGAAAAAAAAGAAAGAAAGAAAGAAAGAATAAAAATAGTGCAGGTATAGAAAGAAAGAAAGCAAGAATGTAACAGAAAAAGGAAGAAAGAGAGAAAGAAAAAAGGAGTGGATACATAGAAAATAAAGAAGGGAGAAAGAGTAGAGTCATTAAAAGAAAGAAAGAAAGAAAGAAAGAAAGAAAGAAAGAAAGAAAAGAATTCGAGGAAAAATCAAATAAAAAGAAAGAATGAAAAAGTAGGAAGAATAACTGGGGGCATAGCAAAAGAAAGAAAGAAAGAATGAAAGAAAGAAAGAAAGAATGAAAGAAAGAAAGAAAAATATACGCACAGATATGAATGAAACGAAATGAACGTCTGTTCGAATGAAGGATAAAGTACAACTGAAAGAAAAACCAGGAAACCGTAACAGATATGAAAGAAGTGAAAGAAAGAAAGCAAGAAAGAAAAACAAAAAGAAGAAAGAAAGCAAAACGAAAAAAAAATCAACATTTGGAAGAAAAGATAAAAAAAATTGCAAATCTAAAAGAAAAAGAAGACAAAACAATACAAAGTATGAAAAATAGGAATGAATAAAAAAAAAAAAAAACACCGACGCCAAATAATTCGCAAATACGCAAAAAAGTGATAAAAAAAAGACTGAAAATAGGAAACAAATATAAAAGAAAAAAAAGAAGAAATATTACAGTGTTCGCTGCATCACTGCTTAGGGCAGCTTTGTTGGGGAAAATTGTTTGTTTAGTTCCATATTTGGATTAAAAATAAATAATAAACTGTCCATCCTATATCAGTATCCCTTGGTTTGCAGAGTGGCGTGGGCCTGTGTGGACACGTACAGTAGGTGAATACGTTTTACGGACCATGTAGAAAGCACGCCAAAGATGACATGGCCGCGAGACAAGCGGGCTTAATTGATATTTGGGGATGGATAAACAGAATGGTGCATTCGATTCAGAAATCAACTGACTAAAAGAGAGCGT